TATATATATATATATATATACTTATATATATATATAGTATAAATTTATTATTATTATTTTTTTTTGAAATTTACGTTTTTGACCCATAATTTAACAATTAATTATTATTTTATCCCTTTTATTAGGATTTTTAATAATAATAATAATAATAATTTTTTTTTTTCGGATTTTACATCATTGAGAGAAATTGATAGAAAATATGTTTGGAGAATTGTGTATCTGTTACGCTATATTCCTTTTGTGATTTGCTCTTCAACTTGATAAGTATTTGTTTAATAAGCGTTGGGAGTCCAAATCAAAGCAACTTTTGACGATATTTGCCCAGCTTTCACTGGTTTAGAGTCTCTTACATTACTTTTAGAGGTTTTGGATTCCAACACCATAATGCCAATGACACGAGCCTTATTTACGAAGCAAAACGACTTCGTCTTGCTTGTTTCGAGTGAAGCTTTTAGCACTAGATAATAGTCATTCTGGTAGGGTAGGAATACTACTTTTTAGGCTGAACACTAACCTTCTTTATCCATAAATATTTTTGCCTTCTCATATGCTTTTTTCAAATGCTTTCCCAACCTTACCATGTCCAATTTGACATTTTGTCCCTTCAAACATATGTTCATAATCTCTTTGGAGCAATCCTTTTGCTGCATGGCATTTGGGTCCTTTAGCACTATGCAATCCTTCTCATACCTCTCTATTAGGGTGCTCTCTTCTTCTTCAATCTTATACTCCATGTACTCCAATGCTAAGTCCTTTGCTAACCTCCCAAGACATACCTCTGATACCAAATTGACTCCAATGGGCACTACTTCCATGAACACTGAACCCGGTCGCAGAAACACCGAGTGTGTCAATGCAGCACCATGCAACCCAACCATTGCATGGCTTGAGGTGATTTAATTGTATGATTCGCGCAAGGGAGTACTTGAAGTTGGTTCGAACACAATTACCTTGAAACCCACCTCCTCCGCCACTAGTACCACTTCAGCTTGGTTAAGAATCACACATCCACCACCACCACTACAACCACCATTGCTCATCAACACGAGGCGTGGCCGTGTAGGAGGTTTAGAAATGGAGGTACCATTTGGGCTATAGGTTGATTTTAACAAGGCCCGAAATTGTTTGAAATTTTTTGGGCTGGGCATCAATTTTGGGTCTATGGTCATGAAACCATGTGATATTAGGCCCACTGTGGCTGAGGGAAAGCAATGAGGCACAGACTCCTTATCCAAGTTTATAATCGGGTGCTGGGTAAAGCTACGTAATAAATCCTTGTAATTACTCATCCACCAATCGTGCGAATTGAAGATCGCAACAATGAATTCCTGACTGGGAAAGATCGAGTTAACGGTGATGAAGAGTGGGATGAACACATCATTGAAGTCATAGGCGAAGTTATCGGTGTACCCTCCCGCACTGAATACTAGAGCCGGGGCATTGTGGTGGATCAAGCATGGTGGGCTCAGTGGGCCTGAGGTGAGAGTAACTTCTTTTATCTGGGCCATTGTGAAATTATCCCATTTTCTTGGGTAAGGCCGGACTTTTTCCTCCAAAATGGGCTCCTGGCCCTCATCTGTTATGCCCATGAGAAAGAAAGTGGACTCTGTTGGCTCAAAGACAGTTGGGCCGTTGAATGAGCATACATCGTAGTTCCTGTGGGACCGATCACAGTTGATTTGTCTGGCAGATTTGACACTTGGCTGAGCTTCTATGTCTACGTGGCTCGTGGCATTCCGCGCCACAATTTTTGTTTCTGCAATCAAAAGAAAACGACAAAAAACAATTTCTTATCTTTATTTTCAAGTTAAATACACTTTATATCCCTGAACTTTCAGTCAATTCAATTCCTACACTGGTTTTAATTTTTTTTTTTTTTGCCAACTTTCAACTAATGTCAACTTGGATGGTAGTCTAGTGGTAAGTTATACTCATTTGGGGTCGTTTCTGATTTCTATGTGATTATCAAATAGGGTTCGATCCACGAGTAACATGGTTTCTTATTTAATTTTGGCAATAATAACATTGTCTTTTCAGATTAGTAATTATGGTTCAAATTAGACATTTCATAATAAGAGACTCTCATAGTTATATGCTTAAAGAGGTTACCACCTATTAGCCGTCATTCCCTTTATTTTTTGACCAAAAAAAAAAAAACACAGAGATGAGGGTCTTCTTTTGTTTTTCGATAGAGTAATAAGGCAAAGCTAATGAACTTATTATTTTAAGTTGGAACAAGTTGATAGGATTTTTTTATTTTTTTTTTATCGACCCCACGTAAAGGAAAGAGAAGGATAAGGTTGCCATGAAGATGTATTGAAGTCCTTGGCAGCTAAAGTATGCTAACTACCCATTTCTTTCTTTTGATGACAACTAGATAGCAGTTAAAGTAGCACAACCATTAAGGAAGCAATCTCAAAATCTGGAAGAAAAATAAAACTCAATAGACTCACCAAGAAAATAAAATTAGAAATAAAGACCAAATGATGTGTGGTTGATGAGGTGCGTAATTTTTGAATTTTAAATGATTAAAGTAGAACCAAAATTATTATCGTATTAGCGACACATCATTTGATTTCTATTTTTTGTTATATTTATTGGTCAATTTAACATTTTCTCGTATGTAAACATAACTGACTATAATTATATAAACTAACACGTTTGGAGTATCGATGATGGATCTAGGGGACGGATGGGTTCAGTTGTATGGTTTGAAAAATTCTATTTTGTTGTATGTAATATTTTCAAATTATATTAACTCGTCTAATTGATTTTTTTAATTTAACAACTATTGTTACGGATGTCAAAATTTGATATGTTTTGTTAACACGATATAAAATTAGAGGATTTGATTTTCTTTAAGCCACCCGTTTCATAAACGAGTAAACTCGACACGATTAATAAACGAATCGGATATGAGTGAAACTAATCAAAAAGAAATATACGACACAATTTATTTATATATCAGTTATACACGATTTATATAAGATACGAATCTGATATAACACGAATTAATAAACAAATCGAATATGAGAGGAGTACTTTTTAACACGAATTTGCTAAGATTCGATACGAACTCACTTCTGCCAGCACGATTGACAAGATTAACCATCGTAGACTAAATTCCTAGATCACTATAGCTAGATTATTGTTAAAAAAAAAAAGTACTCCAAGCTTTTTACGAAAAACGAACCTTGGTCTCTTTTTGAGTCCATTGCAAGTATTGTAAAGACAGACGAGAGATTCATCTGGAAGAAGCAGAATAAGACTATGAGACACACCATACACAAGATCATAGTCCTTGAACCACACTTCATCTCTTCATTTCTGTAAACAAGCATGACGAAAACTAACAAAAAGTTAACCCTCTATTCATCCTCTTTTCGGCATCGTATTTTCACTTTTCATTCAATAAAATTTTAACATTCGTGAAAGTATTCATCCAATTCTTTCTATTTTAGTTTGGTGTTTTTGTCTATCTTTCGACAAAATATCCGACACAAACATGAATAATACCTGTAAACGGATAGAAAAAAACAGTACCTGATCAGACTTGGCTAGATTTGGGGGATAGGGGAAGAGTCAGAGGAGGGTAGAACAGTAGAAAAGTTGGAGATCTTCTGTGTGATCTACTGTTTTGGCCCTTTGGGATTTGAAATGAAAGATCAAGAAATGTCCAGATTTTTTGTAAAAGAAAAAGGTCAGGGCTTTTTGCACAGGTGGTGGTCACTGTTTTTGTTTTTTTTTTGGTTTAATAATCAGTAGTATTCGGATCAAGTTACGACTAATCTTCNATGTCAAGATTTTTTGTAAAAGAAAAAGGTCAGGGCTTTTTGCACAGGTGGTGGTCACTGTTTTTGTTTTTTTTTTTGGTTTAATAATCAGTAGTATCCGGATCAAATTAGGACTAATCTCCTCCTCAATCCGATCAAAAATAGGTCAACCATGTAGAAATTAGAAAATTTATGAGCGATGTCGATGAGTTTGAAAATTCGAAGTTGCTAGTTAATGACCGGAGCTCCAATAAAGAGAAAACTTTATCGTGATTGAATGAATTAATTATATACGAAATGAATCCAAACTTTGCAAGAATTATACAAGACACCAACATGAAATGAACTGAACGACAAATGGGTTATGTATAGGTTAAGTAAATTTTTTCACGATACAACTCCAAATCACGGAAAAAAAAAAGAATAATATAATTCAAATACGACATGTAGCAGACATATTCAATACTAGGCTTACTCTCAACATTAGAAGTTGAAGGTGATTTCAACAGGGGCACAAATTGGACAAGTTTGAATCCAACTTGGTCCGTTAACTGACCAAAGAATAGGGCCTCCTTGTTAGGAGCCCAAATCCAACCAAAACAGGCCTCCCCTTTTTGAGACGGGTTGGGTGTAATATGGGCGGACTAACCCGAATTCAATCCGAGCCCAACTCCAAAAAAAAATAGAACTTGAGTTAGTATTTTTAATATTTGGGTCGAGTCTAGGTAAAAAAATTTTAATTCGAATTAAATTTGGGCAAGTCTCAGGTTGTCGGGTTTAACCCGAATATTAAAATCAGATTGAACCTGAATATACATAAATATATTTAACTAGGGTTATTATTTATCTTTACTCTTTAGAGTCCAAACTTTCACTTCACTTCAAATAATCACCCTTGCGCCTCCATCACTCTCAGATCTCTCTCTCAATCGATATTCTTCCCTCAGACTTTCAGCCTCCTTCTCTCGCTCATCACTCTTCTCTCTTTTCATTTGAACTTCGCCCTTATCTCAGATCACTTGAAAAAATCAGATCTACATTTAAAAAAATTAAATCTACACTTCAAAAAATCAACTTGAATTAAGTAACTCAAGTTCAACCCGATTTTTAACCCAAAATTAGCCCAAATTAAGTAATCCGAATTCAACCCGTGCCCATCCGAATAAAACTCGGGCAGTATTCGAGTTGATTATCTCGGGTTAAAGTAGAGTTAGGATTAATGCTAGAGTTGAAGATTATACGACTAAAATTATCCTTTCAATCGGTCCAAATTGCACCCCACCCCTAGTCTACTGTGTCACGTTCTACAGTACCGTAACAAAATCAAACCCACCCAGTTCACGTGATTAATGTGATTAGTACGTGACAAATCAAAAGGTTCGCCCACCTGGTGACAATACGTTAGTATTATCCAATAAAAATGGATCTAAATCTTTTTCAATACATTTTTTTTAATTCTTTTTTTGACACCTCATCTACTATAATGGTGCCAATTTTGACTTATTGATACGAACCTAATATGAACTCAACATACACGATTATAAAATTAATATGATTATTAAAAACACATAATAAATAATTTAGATTAATATTTAATGTGCAGAATACACTAAATAATTTTTTTTCGCAGGTCTTGACACGAAAATACACAACATGCGTTAAAAATTTTAATTTGTAATTTCTTTTTTAAAACATGAGAATACACTAAATAAAATATAATTGTAATTTTTTTTTAAAAATTTTAAGTTAAAAATAATAATTTTTGAAATGATAATATTTTCTATTTTTTTATAATATATTTCTATTTTCTATTTTTTTATAATATGGTGCTATTTTTTTTTATAACGTTGTGCTATATAGCTAGTGTGGATTGGCTCTCTCTTTTACCCTTCTCTTTAACTTTTCATGTAAATTTTCTTTTTCACCCCTCTTTGGGGGGTAAAATAAACAATAAATTTTTTTTTACATTAAAGAAGACAAATTTAGTAGCTGTCAGGTGAATGAGAATCACTTTCTCGAGAAAGCATGGGAAAAAGCAGTACCCGTCGGATTCTTAGGATGCGTGAAATGAGACCGGGGGACAGATTGGTGATCCTGTTGATTGGGGGACCCACGAAGATAGGGGGTAATTTGGTCATACAGATATTCGGAGGACGTTTTTGTTATTTTTTGGAAAACGAAGGGTTTTTTATGTGGAACAAGCAAAGGCGTTCGAAAACCCAAGATTCGTGGACAGAAATCGACATTGGGATTCGCGAGAGGGGAGAGAGAGAGAGAGAGACCCCGCCGCAACTCGCAACAGTTTGTATGTGTGAAAGATATGTACGGAGAAACTGAGAATTCCACTGTCAATTTACAAGTTAGTCCTTTTTTTGTAAATTTGAATAAAATTAATTTAGATAGGTTAATCCAAAACTCCTTGGATTATATTTTTAAGATAAATATAGATAGTAATATGATTTATCTTTATCTTTTTCTAAGTTTTACAATGATTATAGTGAAATATAAAAAAATAAATAATATACTTCAGGACCATGTGAGATAATATCAAGTCAGGCTTTATTTATTAAGTTTTTACAATAATGTCTTTCATTTAATGAAGTGTATAATTTAATATAAGGGTGTATCAGTCATTTCACCCTGTAATATTATTGGTTGTAATTATCAAGTCTAATTTTTAAATCTATATAACATTGCTTGTGATCCAAAAAACGAATTTCTGGGTCGTGCCAAATTTTTTTCTCTAATTATATCGTTTTATGATCGGTCGAGTATTACTTAAATTATTTTTAACTTATCCTTTACAAATTAAACCTTGACTTGTAAAGTTTTTTTTTTTTTTTTTGTATAAAAAAGAGTGAGGATAAAGGAGAGCGTTCAGAAATCACCCTAATAAGCACTCACTAGTAGGATCATGAGGTTACTGACTGTGCCTGTTATTACCCTCAGGAATGAACCTAACTAAACTAAGAATAACAGTTAACCACCAAACCCTAATGTAGACTTTAAAACTCAAATCTCTAACCTCAAGGTGAGAAATTCTACCGGTATCTCACTGGATCATTCCACTCAGTGGTGACTGTGCGCGCTGATTTTCGCACAACAGTAGAAGTAGGAACAGATCTCTTCCACGATGAACCGTGGTTCGACAAGACAGTAATTCTGGCGGAATGGAAGGTTTACTTTCAGAATCTCTGGTCACCTGCGGCAGAGTTTCGACCCATCCGAAAATGAGTTTTGGCAACAAGAAGTAGGTTGAGAGGGACAAAGGTGTCCTAAGGACCGGTGATGAATTGTTTGATGGGTCGCCTGACCGGTCCTGGAAGATTGTATGAGGATCCTGTGACACAGAAAAATAGGTTAGAAGGGTGCTGGAGTGTTCTCCGGCGTATCCTCTCCGACGATCAAGTCAGTTCTTTGAGAGAGGGGAAGAAGAAAGAACTGTGGTTCTTTTTAGGAGTTCTTGCGTACCTTTGCAATATATTTTTGAGAACTATTTATACCTTCAAAAGCTCATCATTGCTGATAATATAGATAGTAGACAATCATTAGAGAATGGGCAGTGTGCCCCCTTTCCTTTAGTGGGGAATGCGTTCAGCCTTAACTGCTCAGGGCGCTGAGTAATTGATGCTTTTCCCTCGACCTGTCGAGTATTCAATGCGCTTCCCTCGACGAGGAAGTATTAAATGCTCAGGCATGGGAGCATTTAATGTCTTTCACTTCTCGACCCTCATGCCTTACATACTGTCTCATCAGGAAGGGGATTCATTAAATGCATACTTGCTCTAGTCATGTGTCAGTAGGGGTACCCAGGTCTTTTTGCTACTGTTNCTGTCGAGTATTCAATGCGCTTCCCTCGACGAGGAAGTATTAAATGCTCAGGCATGAGAGCGTTTAATGTCTTTCACTTCTCGACCCTCATGCCTTACATACTGTCTCATCAAGAAGGGGATTCATTAAATGCATACTTGCTCTAGTCATGTGTCAGTAGGGGTACCCAAGTCTTTTTGCTACTGATTTGATATCAAATTACACGCGTCCACTCCTCCTTAGTTGCATGTTCAGCATCCCTGCTCCTCTTGACATCATTGAGCATAGCGTCTTCATGATGATTAGCCTAGTCAGCCCTAGGCTAGCCATCAATCAATCATTATCTCTCGTAGAAACAGAGGAGTGGTTGGATTCAGCCTACAGAAGGAACAATTCAATACCGAGGAACATTTGTCTACCTTGGGGGTCAAGATTTTTATCGAACCGAGGGCATATGTGTTGATCACGCCGATGTAGGAATCCCTCGGCTCCGAGCACTATCTCCTTGATAGAGGGGATGAGTGTCGCGGAGGACACGAGACCATGCCTGATTGGAATCATAACGATGCCGGGGACACGTGTCGCCGATCTATCTTTTCCCAGAAATGTCCCATCAACTGCCCCCCAGTCCTTCGATCTTCTGATGCAGGGGAGACGTGTCGTTA